GCCCGGGCACGAGGCGTGCTGCCCCTGGCGGGGCCTGCGGGGAGGCGGGCTGCAGAGAGGCTCGGGCTGTGTCTTTCTCTGAACGTGTCTTTGTTTTTTTAAATATATATATATTTTTATTGATTTCATAGGAAGGGAGAGGGGGAGAGAGAGAGAAACATCCATGATGAGAGAGTCGTTGATCAGCCGCCTCCTGCGCGCCCCTGACGGGATCGAGCCCGCAACCCGGGCCTGTGCCCTGACCGGGAATCGAACCATGATCTCCTGGATCCTAGGTCGACGCTCAATCGTTGAGCCACACCAGCCAGGCTCTGAACATGTTTTGAAACAGAGAGAATGGCCAGACCGGCTTTTTCACAGACGACATCCGTATTCTACGCCACGCAGTTTTCCTTGGAGAAAACGGTGCTTTTCTCTCGCGCCCGCCTGTCCCGGTCGCCGGCCGCGGGGACCCGGCCCTGGGCAGGTCGCCGTGGGCTCCTGGCCTCCCGCATGCTCTGCTCTTCTCTTCGGGGCCCAGCTGCTGCCTGGTGAGCTCTGAGCCAGGGGTTCCCTGTGATTCCTCCCTTTCCCGCCTCTTACGGCGCCTTTGCCAGGGCAGCTCCTCTCTCCCGGCTCCGCGCAGGGGCGCTGGCCGGTAGCAGGCATCAGTGGAACTGGAGATCGGTGCTCCTCGGGCTCACCTGAGGTTGGAAATGTGTTGAGTAGGACCAGGCAGGCCAGGTGGCTTACAGAGGCGTAACCACGGGTGTGGCTTGTTAAACCTGTTTACCTCCGAAAAGGTGGGTGGTTTTGTTTTTTTTCTTCAATGTGTGAGAAAATCTATGGCTCTAATAGAAAATCTATAGCCATCTGATTTTCACGAATAACATTTCAGTCACAAAAAGCACATGAAATCAACAGTGAAAGTATGTTTCCTATCAGCAGTTTAAGACTGTTGTCGAGAATTGTGTTGTTTTTATTGATTTTTAATCCCTGTAGAAAGTAAAGTTCTGTGAGCAGCTGGGGTCTGATGTACTCTCCGAACCTCGTGGTTTTCCTGCCCTTTCCCAGCCAGGGCAGCGCTTGGTGAACAGCCAGGGACGGGCCCCGTTCCTGAAGGGGGTGTGAGTGGTGATTCCGTGGCGTTTAAAGACTGTGAATAATTACTTTGGTATCCTGCCCCCCACTGCATCCGTCGCAGCTACAGCGATTCTTGATACGTGCATAGCAGGCCCTTAATTGATTTGTTAATAAATTCCATTTTAGAATTGGAAGTGGACATGAAGGCACCTGCTGATCGCTTTGTCGGCTACCAGCACTCATTCCCCTTCATTTTTTTTNCGCCACGCAGTTTTCCTTGGAGAAAACGGTGCTTTTCTCTCGCGCCCGCCTGTCCCGGTCGCCGGCCGCGGGGACCCGGCCCTGGGCAGGTCGCCGTGGGCTCCTGGCCTCCCGCATGCTCTGCTCTTCTCTTCGGGGCCCAGCTGCTGCCTGGTGAGCTCTGAGCCAGGGGTTCCCTGTGATTCCTCCCTTTCCCGCCTCTTACGGCGCCTTTGCCAGGGCAGCTCCTCTCTCCCGGCTCCGCGCAGGGGCGCTGGCCGGTAGCAGGCATCAGTGGAACTGGAGATCGGTGCTCCTCGGGCTCACCTGAGGTTGGAAATGTGTTGAGTAGGACCAGGCAGGCCAGGTGGCTTACAGAGGCGTAACCACGGGTGTGGCTTGTTAAACCTGTTTACCTCCGAAAAGGTGGGTGGTTTTGTTTTTTTTCTTCAATGTGTGAGAAAATCTATGGCTCTAATAGAAAATCTATAGCCATCTGATTTTCACGAATAACATTTCAGTCACAAAAAGCACATGAAATCAACAGTGAAAGTATGTTTCCTATCAGCAGTTTAAGACTGTTGTCGAGAATTGTGTTGTTTTTATTGATTTTTAATCCCTGTAGAAAGTAAAGTTCTGTGAGCAGCTGGGGTCTGATGTACTCTCCGAACCTCGTGGTTTTCCTGCCCTTTCCCAGCCAGGGCAGCGCTTGGTGAACAGCCAGGGACGGGCCCCGTTCCTGAAGGGGGTGTGAGTGGTGATTCCGTGGCGTTTAAAGACTGTGAATAATTACTTTGGTATCCTGCCCCCCACTGCATCCGTCGCAGCTACAGCGATTCTTGATACGTGCATAGCAGGCCCTTAATTGATTTGTTAATAAATTCCATTTTAGAATTGGAAGTGGACATGAAGGCACCTGCTGATCGCTTTGTCGGCTACCAGCACTCATTCCCCTTCATTTTTTTTTTTTTAAATACATCTTCATTGATTTCAGAGAGAGGAAAGGAGAGGGAGAGACAGATAGAAACATCGATGATGAGAGAGTCATTGATTGAGCCCGCAGCCCGGGCACGTGCCCCGACCGGGAATCGAACCCCGATCACCTGGATCCCAGGTCGACGCTCAGCCACTGCACCACGCCCGGCTGGGCCCCTTCTTTTTCTTTAACACTCACCCGAGGACATGTTCTTTCTCGGTTGCTTTCCAGAGAGAGTGGAGAGGGAGAGAAACATGGATGTGACAGACACACATAGATGGGTCGCCTCCCACAGACGCCCCGACTGCGCTGGGGTTCGAGGCCGCAACCGAGGTACATGCCCTTGATCAGAGTCGAACCTGGGACCCTTCAGTCCAGGGGCCGATGCTCTAACCACTGGGAAAAACTGTCCCGGGCTCATTCCCCTTAATTTTTAAGATCTGTCTTCGTTTGGTTATTTGACCTGCCACACCTGCCATGATGTTATCTTTGGTAGGATTTTTTTTAAAAATACGTCTTTATTGATTTCAGAGAGAGGAAGGGAGAGGGGGAGAGAGAAATATCAGTGGTAAGCAAGTCATTGATGGGCTGCCTCCTGCATACCCCCTACTGGGGATTGATCCCACAACCCAGGCATGTGCCCTGACCGGGAATCGAACTGCGACCTCCTGGATCCTAGATCGATGCTCAACCACTGAGCCAGGCCGGCCCGGCTTTGGTAGGATTTTTGCTATTGTCCCCACCTTCCAACCTCTTTGGATTTAAACGTTTCTAAGCAGGCAGGGCCTTGTAATTCTCTTGTTCTTTCCTTAAAATGCCACTGACCTCGTTAGTAGTGTGACTTTGAGAAAGGGAGGCTGAACCCATAGTTAACATGGTGAATTCAGCCCAGCCTGGCCCTTAGTGATCTCAGAAGATCCTACAGGGCAGGTCTCGGCCTCGTCGGTAATTGGATGGGAAGCCTCAGGGCAGGAACCAGTGTGCTGTGGGATGTGGCCTGGGGAGGCAGGCCTGGCCCGGGAGCCAGGGCACAGCCAGCACCTGGCCGCGCAGCACATGTGTGTTCACTGAGGCACCCACCGTCTCACCCTGGCTGCAACCAAGGTCTTGAGACTTGTTTCTGCATGAAATGTGAGTCCAGTGAGCTGTTTTGTGTCTTATAATTGTCTATTCCAAGGAGTGATTTTAGTTTGCTTTTTTTTTTACCATCTGGGTAAGTATTTAGTTACAAAGGTGTGACTTAAAAATAAGGAAGTGGCCCTGACCGGTTTGGCTCAGTGGTTAGAGTGTTGGCCTGCGGACCGAAGGGTCTCGGGTTCGATTCCAGGTCAAGGGCACGCACCTGGATTGCAAGCTCAATCCCTGGCCCTGGTCGGGGCCCCTGTGGGAGGCAACCAATCGATGTGTCTCTCTCACATCCATGTCTCTCTCTCTCCCACTCTCTCTCTCTCTCCCTCTCTCTCCTCCCTCCACTCCACTCCAAGAAAAGTCAACGGAAAAAATATCCTCAGGTGAGGATTAATAAACAGAAAGTAATTATCTCTCTCACTAGAAACATGAGGAAAGTATATAAATACAGCTTATTTATACACTTTTTGGAGGCTCGGAGAGACAACAAACAAGTGCAAAGATGACAACCCTCTAAATAATCATGGAATGCAAATTTAAACAGGAATGAAATGCCATTTCATACCTGTCAGGTAAAAATTTAAAAGTGTAAAAAGACTGCTATAGACTGAATTGTGTCCCATCCACCCCCACTCCAAATCCGTGTGTTGAAGTCCAAACTCTCAGTGTGATAGTATTTGGGGATGGAGCCTTTGGGAAATGAATAGAGGTTGGGCCTTCTTGATGGGATTATTGACCTTATAAGAAGAGACACGAGGGAGATCTCTCTCTGTCTCTCTCTCTGTCTCGTCTCTGTCTCTCTTTTGGACACAACAAGAAAGTGGCCATCTATAAGCCAGAGAGCTCTCACGAGGAACTGAGTTGACTGGCACCTTGATCTTGGACTTCCATCCTCCACAGAAATAACTGTCTGCTATTTAAGCCACCTAGTCTATGATTTTTTGTTATGGCAACTGGAGCAGACCACAGGCAGAAATTGGTTCTGAGAAGTGGGGTACTGCTGTAACAAATACCTTAAAATGACGTGGCTTTGGAACTGAGTAATGGGTAGAGGCTGGAAGAGTTTTCACGTGCATGGGAGCAAAAGCTGGGATGGCCATGAAGAGCTTGCAAATAAAAGAAATAATATTTTGATATATTTGGTTAAGTAAAATATGTTGTTATATTTCATTTCACCTCTTTTTATTTTCTTAATTTGGCTACTATAAAATTTAAAGTTACTTATGTTTCTTGCATTGGCAGCACTGAAATAGAGCTACATGTGTGCACATAAATAAATGTGAAAAACACTATCAATGAAAAAAGTAGGTCATTCAGAGTTGTGTTGAGATGACACCATAATTTTATATAAAGTTTTAAAACTTACAAAGTAATACTGTACAATATTTGTGTGTGTGTGGTTAAAAAAATAAAAACAGGATGTGGTTCAGGAGAGAGTTTACCCCTAGGAAGGAGGAACATGGGAATAGGAAGAGATACGGGAAATTTCAACTGCATCATTAAAAAGATACTAAAGAAAATTTGCATCATGTATAAATATGTACTTGAATAAAGAGTTCTTCAAATTTAATTGCATTTCTCTTAATTTTTTCAGACAAGTTCTACCGAAATTTTGGAGTATTCATCAGATAGTGAAAGCGGAGATGACTCAGAGAATGTCCTGTTCATTGATCCAGAATCCTCTCACAAATACCACACGGACTTTGGATCAGATGGAAGACAGGTTATGGAAAGACGGATAAACCCGGGGGCGAAATCTACAGATAACATTTTGTATACGCCCCAGAAACAGACAAAGTTGCCCAGGACTCCTGAAAATTCAGCAAATAAGAAACAGCTTTCAAGGTTAAATTACACTTTTTAAAATATTTTTTAAAGCTTTCCTCTTTCTTTAACAACCCAAATACCTAAAATGTTCATTTAAAAATGCTTCCTTATTTACTTGGGAAGGACAGTTGAGAGAATGGAATTGTGATTTCTATAAGTAATTATGGAAGTCTTAAGTTCTTGAGGTGCTTTATGGAATTGCTCCTGCAGGTTGAGCTTTCAGTTTCAGTCCTAGCTAGTTTATGTGACTGTTTTCCTTAATGGAGATTGGCTGTTTGGGTTTATCAAATTTTATTGAGCATCAGTGTTTCAGGTGATGTCTTAGACAATTAAGACAAGTAAGTGACCGTTTTCAAGTAACTCATAGTCTAAAGAGGGAAAAAGTATAGACTGTTCAGACTAAGGGTCTCTTTGTGTTTTAAATTAGAACAAAACAATAAAGCCAAAAGCCCAGTGAAGGTGAGAAGGCAAATTTGTGGAAAGCAGTGCCACAAAAGAAAACAGCAGAGAGTTTCAAGGAAAAAGGATTTTCACTAGAAGGAATAAATGTAGCAGTGAAGAGCACGGTTTTGGAACCTGTTTAGGATATGTCTACATCAAGACGTGGCAAGATCGATGATGCACACTGAGGCTCCAGTGGTAATGTTAGTGGGCTGGTAGGAAAGAAGCCAGGGACCAGGGCTCAAGGAGTGCCCCAAACTCAAGGAGTGGAGATGCGTCATAATTAAAATGCCAGAGTATAAAAAAGGAGGGAATCTTAAAAGCAGCAAGAGAAAGGCAGTTAGTTACCTACAAGGAAGCTCCCATAAGACTGTCAGCTGATCTCTGAACAGGCTAGAAGGGACTGGCATAAAATATTCAAAGTGATTAAATGCAAGGATCTACAATCAAGACTATTCTGCACAGCAAGTGTATTATTTAAAAATGTAGGAGAAATAAGGAGTTTTCCAGACAAGAAAAAGCTAAACCAGTACTACAAGAAATGCAAAAGAGGCTGCTTTTTCATGCCTCTGCCCTTCCTGCCAGTCTCACTGTGGCTTCTTCTGTAAATCCTTGGTTATAAGACTCCTGTTCAGCTAGTCTTCAGTTGGTTGTTCAGGTTGACTGTTCTGTATTTTATTTGCAATTCCACATTGGTTCTGGGAGGAGGTGAGTGTAACATCCACCTAGTCTGCCACCATCTTGGATCTCTGACTTTTTTTTTTTTTAATACTAACAGATTTTTATTAAAATGATGACTGTTGATTAGAAATCATGGTGTTTACATTCCCAAGTTCCGGTTCATAGGAATTTCCTGCAGGAATTCCCTGGGTAGCTGGGAGCAGAGGCATTGTGTGAGGCACGGGGCAGCTCCTAATGACTGAAACCAGGTGTCAAGTGCTGGCTCTGCCGTAGGGCTCCAGACACTCCCACAGGCAGAGCGCGGTTCTTCATGCAGGCTTAGTCTCGCTTTTGCCCTGCAGCTCCTGCAGTGTATGTGTGAGATACAGGACTTGAGCCACATCCTCTCAGATTGTATTTTTGTCTTTTTTCTCCTCTCGAGTCATAGGTTTGAAAAAAGACACCATTTGAGAAATAATTGTCTAGATCATTGTGCAGAGAGCACAGTGATTTGTCTGTTGTTTATTAAGAGTACCTTTGTAAGCAGTGCTCTTTGAGCAGCAGGTATGTTATTGAGGCTAAGCTTGTGAACTCTCGGGCCAGCTGTCTGTCTGTGCCTGTAACTGCTGCACGTCAGATGTCTCCCCTTGTACGGTGCTTGATGCCTCGGGCCTCAGTTTACCGCCTGTAGAATGAGGGTAAGAGCAGTGCCTGCTTGGATAGTGGTGTTTGGGGGGAGTGTACGTGGATTACTTCACATAAGCTGATGTGTAGAAGTTCACGTAGGTTAAGTAGAAGCAGACATACGTAAAGTACAGGTTCTTTGGCATGTTTGTGATTATGAAAATTTTTTTTAAATTTGCTGTTACATATTGCAAATATTTAACACATTCAGAAATAATTAGTGCTTGTAGGAAAACAAAGTAGGTAGTGGTAATATATATAACGTGTATTAACAAAGATCTTCAAATCATTGTGGAAAGAGTATAGGGTGGAAGTAGAAATCATTTTTAAAACTTAGTAACACTAATGAAAAACATTTCTTAAATGCCAGGCAATGGGGTAAGTCCTTTCTGGTTTCAACAACCGTTTCCTCATCTTGCTGATTACGTAATATTGGTGAATTTCATTATCCTCTCTTTAAAGTCTGATAGATCATGTATGGGGTGGATGTTGATATCATTCTTCTTACCTCAAAGGGATATTATTAAAATAAAAAGATAATTTAGTGAGATGATCAATGAGTTGGTTCGTAGTCATATAAAACGTTGCTATGTTGTGTGTAGTCATAATACTAATTAGCACCTAATCTCTATTTGTCTTGAGATCATAGCTGTGTTAAGAACTGCTGACTTCTCTGAATCAAAAATGTACACGTAATATATGTTTATATGCATTTAAACGTATATCAGTGTACATGTAATATATATTTATATGTACTTAAAGAGGCATTGGTACTTGTTTGAGGAATACGTAAACTAAGAAAGAATGGCAGGAAGTCAGACTGATCTGAGAGGAGCCCATATCTTTAAGAATTAGAAAACAGCTTTCCTGAAATCTTTAAGAAGTGGGTTACTGACCTAGGAGGAATGGGCCTTTAGGAAAATAATGTAATGTCAAATAAGTTAAAATTTAAGTGTTTCATCTGTTTGTCTGTGGTTGGAGGGTAAAAAAAAAAAAGTAAATGTAACTATCCTGAAGCTTTTAAGTAAACTTAACATGTTTTATAACTCATTAAACAGAGGCGGGCTTGCAGAAAGACTCAATGGACTGCAGAATCGAGAGAGATCTGCCATTTCTTTGTGGAGACATCAGTGTGTTTCTTACCAAAAGACACTTTCAGGTAAGGATTGCACTGGCATCTGAGATTGTGGGTAAAAAATATGGTAGTTAAAAATATTTCCACATTAAAATATGTGAAGTCGATCATTACTGTTTTCATGACTTTATTTTTCTCTGGGTGTTGTATAGGTTTCAGAAATTGTTCCAAAAAATGAATCCATTCATCTCATGTCTTAATGATTCTTCCCCAGAGCTTCTCACATAGTTCAGCAGAAGTCCGGTCCTTAAAGATCTGACTTGGGGCATTCTGTCTTAGACCTTGCACTTGCCACGTCTAAGCCAGGAACTTTCAGACTTCTCTGACTGCGACCCATAGTAAGAAATACATCTTACATCATCTCCTGATTCACACAACATATACACACACACCCCTGAAACTAATAGGTCATACACAACACTAACCTTAGTGTGGGTGATACACTCGGCATCCTTTTTTATTCTTGCCATATCCCTAGTTCTGTTAAATGGATGCAGGTCTTTCTAACGATTGGCAATGTGCAGTTCAAAAGTTGCTACTGCAAGCTAGTGACTGCAGCTCTTGTTTCTTAACAAATTTTTTGATATTTAAAATATTTCACACACCAAGAAAAGCTCGCTGTCCTATGAGACAGTGTTCTATTTCATGGTTACTTCCTGGGCGGTCTCTCCATCTGGACCGGGGGAAGAGGTAAGTGGGCAGGGTCCTCTATCCTACATCTACTATTAATAGTTGTCTCTTCAAAGAAGGACACTGAATTACTATTGTATATTAGTACAAGATATGAAAGCCAACCTGAGTGACCATAAGTGGGTGATTGGATAAAGAAGGGATACATATATGCAATGGAATATTACTCAGTCTTAAAGAGGAATTAAATCTTGCCATTTGCAACAACATGGATGGACCTAGGGACATTATGCTAAGTGAAATAAGGCAGACAGAAAGACAAATACTATATGCTTTCATTTATATGTGGGATCTAAGAAACAAAATAAAACAGACACAAACTCATTGATACAGAGAAAAAACTGATAGTCGCCAGAAGGGAGGAGGGCTGAGTGGTCTGGGCGAAAGGGGTGAAGGGATTAAGAGATACACATGGACAGCCACCAAATATTCAGGGGGGATGTAAAGTACAGCATAGGGAATATAGCCAGTAATATTGTCATGACTAGGATGGTGCCAGGTGGACAGTAGACGTATTGTGGGGATCACATTATAAGGTATGTAAATGTCTAACCACTCTGCTATTCACCCGAAACTAGTATCGAAGGTCAACTATAATTAAAACGTTTTTTAAATTAATAAACAATTGTCTCTGCAGGGCAATACTTGGAATATACATTTGAATAGACTCACAGGTTATTTTTGCAGACGTTAGCGGGCAAGACAGAACTAGAGTGTTGGGTAGAACACTCAACTAGTGTGTTCTCAACTATCTCACATTCCTTTGGAAGACTGTTGAATTCTTATCTCCCTTATTACCTTAAAATCCTTTCCAGCTGTGTTTTAGCAACTGTCTTCTCTCTTTCACATACTTGTATTAGACTGTTGTGATATAGACACATGCTCCTGTGTCATCAGGATGACCTGATACGTAGGACCCTAGAACCATTTTTCTATTATACAAGTCCATGGATCAGCCTCTTGTTACATTTATTACTTTGTACCTTGTCATTTTTTTATATCAAGGATTATAATATTAAATATTCATCTTCCCGACTCATTTGATCAGTCAGAAAGCCAAGCATACATAAAGATTGCCTCCTTGTACTCGGGGGGTCATTAACACACCGGCTTAAGCACAAAAAGGAGTTGACTAGCACTCACGAGTTGAACGCCCCGGGATTGTACTGTGCTTCAGCCGTGTTGGCTCTGAAAAGGTTGGTAGGTCTATCCATGTGGGAAGCCCCAGCTCAAAGTCTGATGAAAAGAGCGCTTTCTTTTATAATATTTTACTAGAAATCCTGAAACGATTTTCATTGGTCTGACTGAGACACGTACCCCTCCTTGAACTGGTTGCTGGGGGTCGAATACAGTCTATAGCACGGTGCTTGACACGTGGTCCTTTTCTTTTCAGACTTGTTTAACAGGCATCCTCACTGGGGTACTGAGAGAGGTTACCTGGAGGAGGAAGTGACTCTCCTGGTAAAAGGAAGTTAAAGGAGGAAACAGCTAGACCCCCAGCCCCCCGATCCTCAGTGTCGTGCACTTTCAGTGATGCCGCACCCTCCCTAGTGAAAGCAAACTTTTCACTCCTTTCCCAGTTTTCTCTTGATAGCACCGTTGAGGAGTATCCAGACACACCACATGGGGCTTCATGTGTCCAGTGGGCATCTGTCCTGAATGTTGTTGACTTTATAGTCTCAAAAAATTGTAAGTACCCTTACGGTGAGAGCAAGACTTGGAAAAAGTTAATTCTGGACTATAAATTCCTAGGAAATAGAGAAAGCAGCCCTGGCTGTCCACTCATCCCAACATCCTCATAGTCGACCCGCCTTTGGAGGTGCTCTGTCTGGCAGGTGCAGGGCTGAGGGCTCACTGTATGAATCAGTTAGTATCCAAAGCGAGCCCCTGAGATAGAGTTGCTTTTCCTTATCCAGGTGAGGAAGTCATAGGTGAAGACGGGGTAGGTGAGGAAGTCCAGACCTGGCCTATCTCAGGTCCGTGCTCCTTTCGCTGGTCTGTACAGGCCTTCACGAGAGTGTCTGTTTGGGCGGGAGGAACTTAGGATAGAGAGGACAAGGAGGTAAGGGATCAGCAAAGTTAGAAATATTGATATAAACATGAGTTTTCTTTGGGAAAAATTAATTTTTCAATGTGTAGGTCTGTGCTGCGCACTTGAGACTGCGCTGATTGGAGTTGCAGAGGGCGTCAGGTTGCAAAGACCATGTTAGCTGTGGATCTGTGTGAGTAGGATGCCCTGAAATCTCATGACTTTTATAGGAAGATGGCAGATTGTCTTCTTAATTATTATTAATACATACTGGCAATCATTATACATGGTCGTCCTAGCTTCTCATTACAGTGAATTGACCACATACTCAAACACAGAGTTGAGAGAGTATTTTCTGGAGGTTGAGATAAAAAAATACCAAGTATGACTGGGTGTCTGGAATGAAGAAGGGAAAGATGATCTTTTGTTTGGCTCAGAACCACCAAATAGCTTATTTGGAATCTTCCTTATAATTTCCTTTCTTAAATTTGGGGGTGGAGGGTATGTAATTATATCATGAGGAAGAGACAAAAGCAAAACAAAACAAAAAATCAGAGCCAAAAGTTAATCCGTTCATTTGATAGATGAATGTGAGTCTCCAATAGGTTTTTCTTAGATATGTGAAGGTTTTGGAAATTTGGATTTTAATTTTTTTAAATTTTAAAAATTTTGTCTTGAGTTAGAGTTGACATACAATATTATATTAATTTTAGGTGTACAACATAGTAAATCAACATTTCTGTTGTGAGCTCTACATTTAATTTTGCCTATTTTTGGCAATATTTTGTGCCTTTTAAAATCTTGAGTGTCTGTGGGGACGTAGGGGATTTTTGACATAATATGAACTGTTTTTAAAATATGTGTGTTTATTTAAATTTACAAAATAGGAATGACCTGAGTGGAGGAAGTTCGTTGGTTTTGCAGTTCCGAGTCTTTAAAAAGTCATTTAAATTTTCCTAAACTCTCTGCTTCACCTTCATTTGCTGCCTTCCCGCGCTCGCAGCCCCCGCCTGGGGAGAGCCCTCGCTGCAGTTCCTGTTCTCAGCTTCCCCTTCCCTGGGGTCAGGGAGCCTCTCCGGGTTGCCGCCAGCTTCCCTCCAGCAGTAAAACCAGAAAGCCGCTCACAGCCTTGAGCTTTATTTTCCTTTCCTTTTACACCCTTAGCCCCACTGCAGTGCGACTGTGGTCTTTACCATGTTCCCTGTTGTCGCGAGCGAGAAGAATCCACGCGCATGTTCGTGGTGGGCTGTTCCCGTCGGGAGCTGGCTGTGGCCTTCCTCTGTCGGCTCTCGGAGCTGTGATTTCACGGCCCAGTGGCGACAGTTTCCATGATCGGTTAAGTGGGAGTTAACCAAGGAGTAAAGAGTTCACATTTGACTTTCCCAGTGCCAAGTTATTTGATAATTTTTTGAAAATAATGACAGGACCTGGGAAATAGAGGAAGGGAAGATACTAAATACCAGACCCGACCCTCTGGCTAATGTGTGTGTCACACCTCAGGGCTTCGGTCTCACCTTTTCCCCTTCATTCCTAGAAATAAATCATTGCTGTGAATTTTTCTCTATAAAAACCTGTGAAGTGAGCTTTGGTAATACAGAATTAGTGGTGCTTTCTCCATTTCTTTATACGTGGAATGAAAGAGAGTTGTTACACAGTTTTAAGATTATTTTTACGTAGGCCTGAGGTTTAAACGGGTCTTTATTTTATTTTTTTTTAATTTATTTTTATTGTTAGTGTTACAGATGTCCCCCATTTTCTCCCCTTTGCCCCCCCTCCACCCGGCTCCCACCCCAACCCTGGCCTTCTTTATTTATGTTTTCTATTGTAAATGATCCAAAAATAAGACTGCAGAGTTAGCCCATCCCAAATGAATTATAAAGTGGGTAAAACATATTTCCTGTTGAATTCCATCTGTGGCTTGATAAATAACAATTCATTCATGTTTAATTGGAATCTCATTAATGACAAAAATTATCTGTATGTCAGGAATTTTTCTCAACACCTTTATTTTTCAGTTGATGTTACATTTATAAAAATAGAGATATTTAAATATTCCTGAATTTTCTCTTTACTTAGCTTTATGACCTTTTAAAAGCTGTTTTTTAGTGTGAATTTTGGACACCTTTTCCTGTTTTCTGAGCCAAAAATATTGCATCCAGTGCTCTGACATACAGTGTTTTAAGTGAGCAGCGTTTTCGATAAGGAAGATCTTGCTCTGTGGGTGCCCCGGTGGACGACGTCGCTGTGCTTGCTTGACGGTCCTCCGTGCTCACGCCTGGGAAGCTGAGCCTGTGGCTCCTGTCGC